TCTCCAGGACACAGAGCCATCCCCCCTCTCTCATATCCACAAATTCATTCTCTCTCTCTCTCCCCCACCCCCTTATGGGACATCTCTCTCCATTTAGCTTCACATTAAGTACACAGACTTTCCTTACCTGAAAAATGGCTTCCAATCCCAGCACTCCCAGCGCCCAGCTTGGAAGCCCCTAGGAAAAGCGAATCTCTTTCTGTGCCCTGATTTGCTGGTCCAGCAAAGTCCTGGGGTGGTACCTGATTGAATTATGAGCTCATCCAGTTCAGTCACAGTTACCAGGGTTGATTGCCCCCAGCGGGCCATCCCTGGGTCCTGGGATGAGTGCAGTGTGGCCATGGGTGAGTGCACTTTTCTGGCCATGGGTGAGTGCACTTTTCTGGCCATGGGTGAGTGCAGTGTGTTGATTGGCTGCCCCAGATTTGGGGACAGTTACCTGTGATGGCCAGCGTGGCTGTCATTGTTTTTCTACCTACACTCTGTTACATGTTATGTCCAACAGACATAGCGGAGCAGGACACTCAGTAAGCCACACAAGACTAGTTCAAAGCCCTCACAAATGGTGTGTCACCACACCCATTGCCTCCAAGTCTGGCCATTAGTCTGCCTCTGTGAGAGGGACCAAAACCCCTTTGCTTCCCTGATGCCAGACTTGGAGCAAGACAGAAACCTTGCTTCTAAGGGGCTAAGCCACTGCTTATGAAGCCGGCATCCCACAGAGTTCGGGTTCAAATCATGGTTCTTATCCAGTTTCCTGCTAATGCGTCTGGGAAATCAACAGAGTGGGTCAAGCCCCTGGGCCCCTGTCAGTCATGTAGCAGATGGATGGAGTCCTGGGCTCCTGGCTTTGATTGGCTGAGCCCCTGCCTGCTAGTCACTTGTGAAATGAACCAGCAGATAAAACATCTCTATCTGCCTGTCTCTCTCCTCTCTCTGACTCACCTTATCTCTGACACTCAGACTTTCAAAATAAATAATAGACATTCCAGACAAAGAAAGAATAAAGAAGTCTTGGCTGCAGGAAACCACGCTGCCTTGGTTTGTTACCACCAAACACCTGAGCAGGTGCTGACCAACAGAGACTACATTGTCACCAAATGACTCTGTGGGCTCTGCTGTCCCTGGTCATGGATGCCATCAGCAGCTCTGGGGGTCGTGCACTCCTCACTGAGCCATGAGGGAGTGTCCCTGATGCTGAGGGGATGAGGAAAGGGTACTGCTCTCACACCCACTCTCATTTGGGGGCTGGGATGGCTCTCAAAGGGAGGACAGCATTGGCTGCTAAGGGCAGCATGTGTCCATTGGAGCTGCTTCTTCCCTCTGTTGTGGAAACTTCCTCACCCACCCTTTGGGTTTCCTGGCTCCTCTGCACCTGTTCGTGGTACTCGCTGGACAAGATGCTTGCAGGGAACAGAGGAACTGTGGGGTTGGTGTTATGTGCTTCCAGGGCAAGTGCATTTTCTGCTTGTCTGGGAGAGTCATGGCCACCCTGTGCCATAATAACTAAGTGACAGCTTCATGTGTATGATACAGGGAACTCAGGATCCCCCTTTCCTTCCCAGATGAAACAGAAATCCATGCCCCAGTGAATATAAAGTCATGGACTCCCCCATCACCGGCCCATGTGGGATCCTGTCTCCTACCCCATCCTCAACCTGCCTGGACCCTGAACAGCTGTGAGACCCGCCATTTGGGATGGGTGTGTCTTCAGTGTGCTATGGTCACCTGCCCCGTGGGACCTGCCTTCCCACAGCAGTTGTGCCATAGGGGATGGGAACTGGAGCCACTGACTTGAACATGATATATGTGCTTGAAGAAACACAGCATGCAAACCTCACTGAAAATGCCAGTGTAGGTTAGAATGTGGGCCCTGTGACACATGACTAGGTGGTAGTGTCTATTACTTCATGCATTTAGAATCTGAAGTCCAGGAACCATGTGCAGGCACCACAGTGAGAAAACCTGCTACATACGACTCCAGCAAGGCATGTAGGAACATGGGTTTAGTTCCTGGCTGCTCTGCCTGTGACCAAGCTCCCTCCTACATTAACTGGGAAGCAGAGAATGATGGTCCAAGTACCTGATACCCTGAAATCCAAATGGGAGCCCTGGGTGGAGGTCCAGGATCCTGTCTTCAGACTGATCTAGTCCCAGCTATCATTTGGGGAGGGGGAGTGGCATGAACCAGATATGGAAGATCTGCTTCCTGTCACTTAAACTTTCAAAGAAGTACTTGTTTAATTAAACCAAAAGAACACATTTCATCAGGAACTCCCATTGAGTTTTAAGTCACATTAAATTCTTAGTGAAGTATAAAGTAAGATTTCACTTCTCATTTCAGTTCACTGAGGGTAGCATGACTTTTGTACTGCACTGACTGTACCTCTGGGTGAGGGTGGGTGACACGGAGGGTTCTGACGCTAAAGTCCAGTCCACATGGAAACTCAATTGTTCTTTGTACGGTGTTACTTGAAAGGACTTAGAAAAGTTCAAGGCAAATGAAATCAAAGGATAAGCTTACTGTGACAAAAATGTTTTTGAAATTTATACATATGAGAGAGTCTACAGACAGTTACATAAAGTATTAAATTATTTTAGCATTTCAAAAGTTTCAAAAGCATACCCACCCTGAGCCACAGTGTCGGTGCTACTCCTACTGGCAGCCTGAGGTGCTGGCCAGGACAGCTGGACCTGGACAGGGCTCTGGAGCCTGCGGCAGACTGGTGCCAGCGGTCCTGAAGCCAAGGTGCTTGGGGTCCTGATTCCTGCCTGGAATCACGGATGGGTCTCTGCTCAGCCTTGGGCAGGAACAGCAGGCTCCTTGGGTTGCCTTGGGTCCCAGTCCCAGCACCCAGCAGCAGCCTTGCTTATGCCCCAAGTCCTGCGGGCTGGGTCCAGTGGCTTGGCCGGTGGTCCCAGTATCAGATGAGGATCTGGAGGGGGACTCAATCCCAGTTGACTGGAAAGGCCCACCTCATGAGAAAGTTAGAAACCCAATGCTCTGGGCAGAGCTGAGCCACCGTGCTGGGTTCACATGCAGGAAATCTGTGTGTAACCTGGAGGGAGTGTCGCGTGGGGCGGAGCTGTGAAGGGACAGAGGGTGAGGGTGTCCCCTGGAGGGCCCTGTCTCTTGGCCTTCTCTTGCCCCCAAATTCCTCTGATGATCCTGACAGACTCACTGTGGAGAGACCTTCCTTGTTCCCTTCTGTTGGGCTTCCAGGCCCCTAATCAGGAGCCTCCTCTATCCTCCTCATGCCCCCTGCTTCCCACAGGCTTGCTGGTTTCCATGGAAGGATGAGTCTCATTCTCTACCGCCTTAATTTTCATGTGTCTGTGACAAAATACAACTTGAGAAATTTTTGGAAGCTAATACAGTTTGGAAAATAAAAGTTAATAGCCAAGTGGATCCCAAAGTAAAAAATAAGCAGAAAAGGAGGCTTGAGGATGGGGTAACGATGGAAGACTGCTCAGGGCAGCATGCTGGGAAACAGAAAGCTGGACTGTGTCGTTTTCCAAACAAGTTTCAGAAATCACTTGCCACCTGTTCTTACCACCATGTGTCCATAATGTGACTTGCTCATCATTATCCTGGCTCATGTCACAGTTGCAGGCAATCCACATGTCACAACAAATCTATATGCAATATCATGTTAGTGGCACAAGCTGGAGTTGGCTACCCTACAGTCCAGGTGCCCATCACCTTTAGCCCAAACATACACTTAGTATGTTTGGAAGAAGTTGATAATAAGTGTACCCAATACACACACACACACAGCCAAAGATGATTCAGTTCTGTTTAGCTGGAAGTACTCAAATGTAGATAGAGGAATTAAGAAGAGGACAGAAAGGGCTGGCACTATGTGGCCTTCCACACCATGACTCTTTTCAGTCACACAAACTTCTTGTGAGCAACCTGGTGGTGATCTCAGGAGGCAATGATCATTGAAGACACCAGTGTCTTCCCTCAGCTCTGTAGATATGAATCATGTCCCTGATGGTGTCTTGGGCAACTGAACAGTTGGTCTCAGCGTCATGATGCCAGAAAAATGAACCACCTTTTGAGACCCATCACTCAGGGTTACAGGAGAAGGAATGGAAATTTCAAGTATAGACATTAAGAAGTACTCAAATGATTAAAGTTATTATTACTGTTTTAAACTAGAAATGAAAATGCCACTGAATGTCCTACATGCTTTCATGTCTCAAAACATTGACATCAATCCTAACGCCAAGCAAAGCAGAAAGCTCTTGAGGTCCTCATCTTTAATTGAAAAGAAGATTCTGGAGAACACTCCTTGTCATTTTCTGTGGCTCTGATTGATTCATGTCTTGCTCTGACTTCATAAAGAGCCATTGTTATGAATTCACATGTGTGTAAGCCCCTAGCTGGGCTCTGATTGGTCCTTGCCTTGCTCTGACCTCATAAGGAGTAACTACTGTGATGTAATTCCCAAAACCATATATCTAGCCATCTGCTGGGCCTAGGTTTTTGTCCACCTTACCCAGGGAGCTGTATTTGGTGACCTGTGTGACTTGGACCCATCTATCCTAGCGGTTGTGCTTGTTGGGGTGTGTGTGTGTGTGTGTGTGTGTGTGTGTGTGTTTGTTTGTTTGTTGGTTTCTTGTTCTATTTTGTGTATTCTTGTGCCCATTTTATTTAGTTTATTTTTTTCTTACCTATTTGTTGTTTTGCCCATTCTATAATTTTTTTTGCAGTTTTGTTTTATTTTGCTTCCCCCATTGCTAGTTAGCCAGCTTGGTCAGACTTGTTAGCAGTAGCGTATTTTAGTGGCTTTTCCTCTTTCTTGTTTTCTGTTTTATTGAGATAGTCTTCTTCCTTTGGATCAGAATAGTTAGTCTAGCTAGTTACACTTTAGCCAGAGGCAGTCAGTCCCCTTGCAATCCCTTTTGAGTTTTAGGTAGCTCAGAGTAACTGATTAGTTAGTGTTTGTGAATAGAGAGTGCAGTTTAGAGAGTGTAGAGAGGGAAGGCTGGCCATGCGTCTCCCCTGGGTCTTCCACCCCCAGCTTCCTGGTTACCAGTTTGGAGAGATTCTGGGCCAGGGCGGCTTTGGCGTGGTGAAGCTCGCCCACCAGCTGGCCACGGGCAGGGCCGTGGCAGTGAAGATCGTCGGGCGGCCACACCTGATAGCCCGTTGGCATTGGCGGGGTGCGGCCCAGGAAGCGAGGTTGATGCGCAGCCTGGTGCATGAACACATCGTGCAGCTGCTTGATGAGAAGAAGAAAGGCAGGTTTACGTTCCTGGTTATGGAACTAGCCAGCAGGGGTACCCTCTTTCGCTACGTGATGCAGAAGCACGGCCTGGAAGAGTCCGAGGCCCGCCCACTGTTCGCCCAGATCCTGTCGGCGGTGGAGTACTGTCACGCCAATCGCGTGGCGCATATGGATCTCAAGCCAAGCAACATATTGTTGGACTCCAAAATGAATGTCAAACTGGCTGACTTCGGGCTAAGCCAACGGGTGGCCGAGGGGAAGCGCTTAAGGGGCCCTTGTGGGACCCGGGAATACTGTGCCCCGGAAGTGCTTTCCATGCAGTTATATGATCCGTTTCAGGCGGACATGTGGAGTTTGGGGGTAACCCTCTTTGCAATGCTGACGGCAACGTTGCCCTTCCGTGGGAGGAATGCAGTGGAGCTGCAGCAACGCATCGAGTCCGGCAGCTACGTGCTGCCCCGGCCCTACAGCCGGGCCCTGAAGGCGCTTCTGCGCTCCCTGCTCAGGGTGGAGGCCTGGGCCAGGTACAGGGCCGAGGTCGCCAGGGCGCATTGGTGGTTTGGTCCCAGCCGCGAGGTGTGTCCCGAGAACTCTGTCACCCAAGTGGAGGTGCTGAATGTTCCCCTGGATCCAGAAGCCAGGCGGTACCTCGCGGAGCTCGACCTGCTGCCTGGCACTCAGAAAGAGAGGACGCCACACCCTGTGCCCTGGCACCCTGCACTCCAGCGGCCTTTGTTCTTGACGGACGCTTGGGACCATCTCAAGAAGTCGAGCTCGTCTTCGGTGTTGACCAGCAACGATGAGGTCTTCTTTTCCTGCCGCTCGTCTGTAACCACCCATTCCAGGGGGATCTCCAGTAAGTCTGACACCTGCCCCTCATCCCTGCCCCTCACCCCTGTCTTTACAAACCTGAATCCCAGGCTTCCCGAGGCGCCCATAACTTTGCTCTCTCTTACCAGGGCAGCTGCAGGAAGACAAGCGCTTCCTTCCCAGAGCATCCCACAAGGTGGCGTCTGAGATCCCCAGGAACCGCCCAGAGCCAGAAGTGTCAGCAGCAAGGAAGCCTGAAGAAGCTGGGACCCCAGCTGCTGCCAAGGAGCCGGCGCAGAGTGGCCAGGGGTTCTGCAGGAGGATCCTCAGGTTCCTGCAGCGGGCCTGCTGCCTTGGGCAGACCCCAGCCACAGGCCCCCGCCTGCGCTCCCGAAAAGTGGCCCCAGAAGGTTGCCTGCCAGGCAGGTGAAGATGAGTCTGGGGGCTGAGCTCCCTGAGAATCTCTAGTTTATTAAATAAAGGTCCTAATTGTTTGTATGGATCTAGTCTAGTGTGGTGTCTGTCCTCTCTGTGCACCTCGGCAGGGTCCTATGGTGTTGGCCAAAGGCTGCGTCTCAGAGGCTGAGGTAGTGAAGGCCCGAGGCTTGCAAAGGCCACGGGAGGGATGGGTTTTGAGGTCTCTCACAGCACACAGTCCAAGTCTGCGGTGATGGGCATTTCAGCAGAGCTGACAGAGTCCCCAGCCAATGTCTCCCCACATTGTCAATGGAGAACAAGACCTCCAAGGGCCATAGACTTCAACCTCATGGTGTGCAGGTCACCAGCTGTGCACTTCAACAGCTGCTGGGTGAATAGGGCAGCAGAGTCATGTGGCTGCATGCCTGGCACGCCCTGGGTGAGGCAGACAGGCAGAAACAGGCCAAGTACCTGTGGGCTCTCTGCCAGGTGTGCAGGTCAGCTGGGGGTCTGGTAGTACCTTGGCTTTTCAAAGTTGTCTGTGCATAGAGTTGGGGCTGTACCCGCTCTAGCTGAAGCAGATGGTCACGCCATAGTTGGACAACTTCTGATAGTGGCATGGAATAGTGACTCCAGAGAAATGTCAAGGTCACCTCCATGAGGGAAAAATGTTTCATGGGGGTCCTAAAGGGATCAAGTGTGGGTTGTGTGCAGAGCACACGTGGGTGACCTGCCCACTCATCTCGTAGCTGCCATCGTCATGTCTTCTGGAAACACCAGGTTCTGCTGGCCTGAGTACCTAAAGGTCTGCTCCACAGAGAGGCAAGCCCTGTAAGGAGTCCCAACATGGCCTGGGGGAGGCTCCCAGAAGGCTCAGCTTGCTTGATGGCTCTGCTGAGCTTCCTGGCTGGACAGTATCCGATGTCTGGCTCTGAAACATGACAACATTTAGTGCTTTGGGAGCTGTGGCACACAGCAGTTCTGGGATGTGTGGCGCAGGTCCAGACCTTGACTTGCCTAAATCCTGGGGACAGTTGATGGCAGCATTCAAATAGCTGGCAAGCAGGCAGTGGCAGATGGCATGGCATCAGTTTCCTGGCATTTATTTCCATGGAGGGCAGGAAGCATGAGGTTTTTAAGCAGTCGTAAGTGGCCTGGGGTCTCTCCAGCCAGCTAAGGCTGCCCTGCATGCAGAGAGCAGAGCTGTAGATGGGAAACAACAGTCTGCAGTAGGATGTTGGGCTGGCGGGCTTGTTGTCCCATCAGGACCCCGAGCGGAATTTCTCTGTGTCTAGCTGTGTAGTGTGTGGACTACTAGCACTGCTGTCCTTCAAGTCCATGCTTGGCTCTGCTCTGTCCCCTTTAGGGCAGGACTCAGCTCCTCCTCTGACATTAGGGACCTCCTTCCCCTTCACACACACACACACACACACACACACACACACACACACACACACACACTGAGCCATCTGGTTTTCTCTGAGACTTTGCATGTGCTTTTTCCTCTCTGGGACACCACAGGCTCACCAAGCCAGAAGCTCAGAACTCCATCATGGTCAGGAACCCACGTACTTGTGCCATTAGCTGCTGCCGCCCAGAGTGGGAATCTGTAGGAAGCTATAATTGAAAGCATCATCAGGACTTGAACCCTGATACTCTGGCATGTAGCATCCGTGCCTGTCAAACAGAGGTTTAATAGACACCACACCTCTCCAAGGTTTTTTTTTTTTTTTAAGAAACTGCTACAAATTGGCAGGCTTGTATGGGGTTACAATCTTCTGATCCTGAATCTTTAAATATTCAGCACATACAAACATGTTGTCATATGATACAAAGCCATAATCACACAGAGATTGCCTTGAAGTGTGTCGTGCCCCAGGCTGGCACACTGCGCCACTGGCAGAGCAGTCAGTTACAGACATGGTAGTTATGATTTTGCCCTGGGAGGATGGGTTTGGGATGTGTCAGTCAGGGGACCGCTGAGGAAGCACATTCCAGGTGAGGAATGACTTCTGGGGGACTTCCATGGATGGAGCCATTGCAACCACAGGTAAATGAGGAGGGTTGAAGCCAGCTGGTTTGGAAAGGGGAAGCTGGAGAATGTGTTTGGGCAGATTAGGACACCTGCTGACGTGGGAGATCTGGGCTGGGTTAGCTTGTATTGATCACAGATCACTAACACGCGGAAAGCTATGGATGGGGGCCTAATAGAACTAGGCCACTGTATCCACCAGTGAATATCATGTCAGGGTGTGGGCCATGATAGGCTGGGCCATGACACTAACCCTTATGCAAGAGAACCAGGTCTTGGTGCAAATTCTGTGAGGAAATTTGTGGTATCTTCCCTGTGGGAATGTAATACCTGCTGGTATGTGTGAGAGCTGGGGTAGTGATAGACCAAGCTAGGCATGACCATGGAGCTCACCAACACTTACGGGAACTGTGGTTCTGAATAGGCCAGATTGGTCCAAGCTTCAGCATAGGCACACCCAAGGATTGGGTAGAGCTGTAGCCCAGGACGCAGCATCCACTAGTACTCAAAGGGTGAGGCTAGGGGTAGACTATGCTATGTTGGTCCCTGGTAGGATGAGATCTGGTTGGAGCAACTACCAGTACATGCAGGATTTATATCTTCAAGTTGGCCAAGTTTTAGAGTTAAGGAGATGCCCTTGCTGGGCTGTGGTTCCCACTAGTGAGCATGAGAGCCATAATTAGGATGGTGAACTGGGCTGAACATGGCTGCAATATCCCTCAGTATGTGTGTGTGTGTGAGCTGGGTCTGGGTTAGGCTCTAGCACCTGCTGAATCATGTGAGAGCCAGGTCTGGGGGTGGGCCAGGTTGGGATGGGCTGTAGCACTCACTCGTGGGACCTGGAATGGGTGTGGGTTAGTCAGGCAAGGCTGCTGCACCTGCCGGTAAATGGCAGGACAGAAGGTGGTCAAGTCAGGCCGGGCCAAACACGCACCCGTATGTGTGAGATCTGCAAACGCGAGGTGACCTGATAGAAGAGCTTAGGTAACTCCTCTGTCAGGACAAAATCCCTACTGATGAGCATGAAAGCTGAGACTGGGAGCAGTCCAGAACTAAATGGGTTACAGTACACTCCTGTGTATGTGGGAGTCAGGCCTAGGGCAGGCCAGGGGGGCCAGTTCACAGTATCCAGGAGCCAGGAGGCCACTGACCCTATGGGTCTCTGATGCAGGTGCAGAGCCCCAAGGCTTTGGGCCAATCTAAATTGCTTTCTCAGGTCAAAAGCAGGGAGCTGGATGGGAAGTGAAATAGGTGGGACATGAACTGGCAACCGTATGTGATGTCTGCACCTGCAGGTGGAGTATTAGCCAGTTGAGCCATCACATCAGTCCCAGATCAGTCTTTATTTATTTATTTATTTTTAAGGTTTATTTCTATTGGAAAGGCAGACTTACAGAGAGAAGGAGATAGGAGCTGGGATCCTCTTCCAGATCTCCCAAGTGGGAGCAGGATCTCAAGGCTTTGGGTCATCCTCCTCTGCTTTCCCAAGTCACAAACAGGGAGCTGGATAAGAAGTGGAGCAGCTGGCACATGAACCAGCGCCCATGCAAATTCGGCACTTGCAAGGGGATGATTAGTCAGTTGAGCCACCACATTGGCCCCAGATGAGTGTGTTTTTAAACTGAATGTTTTTAACAGGGCATGTGTGAGGTAAATTTCTATTTTGCTGTCACCTAGGCTACCTTCCCCTGCAAGAATTGCCAGGTCAAAATCACATGTTGAATAATGCGTTTGTCCTTTTTCAGTTTTAAACATTTATTTGTTTGTTTATTAGTTTGTTCATATATAAAGCAGAATTCAGGAAAGAGAGAGAAAGAGAGAGAGAGAGAGAGAGAGAGAATCTTCCTTCCCACGGTTCACTCCAAATGGCTATAATTTCCAGGCCTGGGCCAATCTGAAACCAGAACCTAGGAGCTTCTTTTGGGTCTCCCAGATTGGTGCAAGGGCCCATTCCTTGAACCATCTACTGCTGCTTTCCTAGGCTCATTAGCAGGAAACTGGATCTAAGGCACAGCAAGTGCAGCCTAAACCGGAGCTCATGTGGAATTCCAGCATAGCAAAATGTAGCTGAAATGCTAGAACATAGTGCCCACCCAGAGTGATCTATTCCTTACCACCACTTTGGAATGCCTTCTCTGTTACATACAGATGTCTACATAGGCGTATGTCTGTGTCTGGCCTCTTGATTTTGCACATACTTTATTATGCATTCTAAGTTGAATATCACAGTTTGGTGATATTCAGAGCTCACCCCTACAAATGCTTTGAAGGAGCCTTTTTTATTGCAGTATCTGATTCACCACCTGTCAGCTCTATCACAATCAGCAAGCTACTTGATTTATTTATGACTCAGTTTTTCCATTGGAGAAGTGGGATTAATGAGAGTTCCCTACAGAATCATTTCCAAGATTTGATGAGGTTTTCATTCGGAATATTTTATATCAAGTGTGAGCATTTTTAAACAATACATATATAGAGCAGTTATCCCCAATGAAAAGATAAGTAAAAAAGAGAGGAGGAAGACAAAATAAAGGATATGACAAAATAAAGGATAGTATCATGGTAAGTATTTCTCCTATATGACAAATAGCTAAGATCCTGAACACAGGAACAAATATAAAGACCAAGAGTACAGTAGAAAAATGGACCAAATACTTCAATAGATATTTCATGAATTTGAACAATTAAACAGAAGAGATGAGCAGCCATGGAGAAGAATGAAACAAGTTATATCAAAAAAATCAACTTTTTAAAAAGTTGAGGGAACATGATCTTTCTGAAAATATATTTCTTCTTTTGACATAAAGCAGAAGTTTACAGCTTTCCCTTTCCATAGTCACAGTGTCAGAATCACTACTGTGGGGACGTTGAAAAACAAAATAGGATTACATGATTCAGCACTGAGTTACCAAGACAGTTGATCTGATCCTGGGCATGTCTGAGAGATTAACAGGAAGGCAGCATATAGTGCTGGCAC